GGTGCTAGTTGAGCTGATTTATTATATGAAATAATGACGACTATGTAACGATATCGTACAGTAGTAACAGTACAACCCAGGACTTCTAAATCATTTTTAATAACGTACTAAATGACCAAAGAATTACACTAAAAAATAACCTACTCGTATAATTAATATACATGTATACGATTGCATACTAGACCTTAATCAGATTGAGAGAAAATTTCTATCAAATATTCGACAGATTAAGTGTTTGATATCGTGATTATAAATTCAAAATATGAAATTAGTACTCGTGTAGAGAGAGAGACACTATCTGTTTACGTTATTGGTAGTCAAGTCTCGGTATTATTGTAGTTACTAACTTTTCTAAAAATGAATAGCTTTCTATAGTAAACAGTAGGCAGTACAATATATCATAACTAGGCAGAGTAGAACTTTACTACGCTATACTACATCGCTAAAATATGACCTCATTAACATTATAAATATAATATAATATAATTTTTAGATAACAGCGTTATTAGATTAGTAAATAGCATACACAAATTACCGTATTAAATTTATAAATGCTAAAAGCGGAAAGATAAAAATCGATTTATTACACGTTTTAAGAAAAGAGATTCTACTGTAGTAACTATTTTCTTTATTTAAATACAAGAAAATAAATATACTAAGAAAATAGATATTAATATATATTTGAAACTCAGAATATTGGTGTATAAGTATATCTCGAGGGACGAATTTCTTACTTTCATTCCTCTAGCTTCGCTCTCTGTTAATAATATATGTGATTTAGCTAAAGTACGTAAAATAAACTTTTAAGGGATAAATACTGAAAACTTACTTACCAATGATATCTTGTTCTTGTAATATCAGTTACAGTAGTATAAGAATAATTTATTACTTAAATTATTGAATATTACAGTCGTAAACTTACTGTAGACCAGGTAAGCTACAGTATATATAGCAAATCATAGACTGAACTCCCTACGTTGTCACTTAAGGCTACAGTTATCGTTTCTAAAATTACCTACTAACAGCACTCTACTATCTTTACGCCTAAGTATAATATCCTTGACATCGCTAGGCCGTTCGGTCGAGCACGGCTCTCATTTATAACAATAATTATCGAGATGTCGCTATAAAAATGACTTTCCTACATGTGCATATAATGGAGGGGTATGTACGGTATAGAGTATATACCGTAGGATGATTAATATGAAATAGGAGTTACGTACATAAAAACTTGAATACTGTATTACAAAGATTACCTACGTAGCATTTAATGCAGTTTATCGATATCTTTGATGTGATAGCTGACGTATCAATCAAATTGCATATATTCATATATCATTGGTTACAATTTATAAAGTAAATATCTTATGTGTCTTGCGAAGTCGATCATGGATATTAGTTTATGCATATGTGTATTACGTGAATAAGATACAGTACTGTACTTCTGCAATATGTATACACGTACGTTGCCGTTCCGCCTAGAGAAATCGTAGATTGTAAGTTACGCCTATAACAAAATTTAGATCCATAGAAAGTTAGAGTTTATGCTTGTGTTACAGAGCCAAGCTCTGAAATAATAAAGGCCTTGTTAATTAAAATTTAATATGAATTGTGTTGTTCCAGTAGTCTTATATGCGTTA